GAAGAAGCACGAGAGTACAATAAACGCAGTAGAAGTGCGGTCGTTAAGGAGTATGTTAGGGCTGAATCTGAGTGACAGGGTGAGAAATTGTGTAATAAGAGAAGAGTGTGGTATACAAGACGATGTGGCGTGGATTAAGAAAGGAATGCTTCGGTGGTTTGGTCATGTACCTAGGCTGCACTAAAAGTATCGGGAATGGAATATTTCCACTGTTCCTGTCATATTAAAATCTTTTTAATTGAAAACTCCTTGGTTTTAAAAATCGAATACCATTTATTTATTTAAAAAAAGATTCTCGGTCTTGCCACAACGTTTTGTCAAACTTGTTTAGTCGTTGAAAAAATGGAATTGACTCGAGAAAATTCAAGAGCGATGATTTATTATGACTTTCAAAGTGGTTTAACACGAAAACAGTGTGTTGACCGGATGATTTCTGCATTTGCTGATGAAGCCCCATCCAAAACCACAATTTATCGCTGGTTTGCTGAATTTCAACATGGACGTGTCAAGCTCAGTGATGATCGCGGTCAAGGTTGTCCAAAAACTATAGTCACCCAAGAAAACGTTGATGCTGTGCGAGAGCTGATTGAGGAAGATCGACATGTGACATACCGCGAAATTCAGGCAACTTTAGACATTGGCATGAGTCAAATACAAATAATCTTGCATGAACAATTAGGTGTAAAAAAGTTGTTTTCCCGATGGATACCGCATTCGCTCTGTGATGAGCAAAAAGCGGCTCGCGTTACTTGGTGCGTCAGAACTCTCGAAAGATTCCACGCAGGATGCTCAAATGCTGTATACAACATCGTATCAGGTGACGAATCCTGGATATACGCGTACGAACCCGAAACAAAAAACCAGTCACGAGTTTGGGTGTTCGAAAATGAGTTAAGGCCAACAAAAATTGTTCGTTCACGGAGTGTTGCAAAAAAAATGGTGGCCACGTTTGTCTCCAAAACCGGCCATGTTACGACTATTCCTCTTGAGGGACAAAGAACGGTTAATGCAGAATGGTATGCTAGCATTTGTTTGCCACAAGTCGTTTCTGAACTCCGTATAAAGAACTGCAACCGCCGCATCATCCTCCATCACGACAATGCGAGTTCTCACACCGCACACAGAACAACAGAGCTTTTAGAGCAAGAAAACATAGAATTATTAGACCATCCGCCGTACAGCCCCGACCTAAGCCCTAATGATTTCTATACTTTCCCTAAAATAAAGAATAAATTGCGTGGACAGAGGTTTTCATCACCTGTAGAAGCTGTGGACGCCTACAAAACGGTCATTTTGGAGACCACAACTTCCGAATGGAATGGTTGCTTCAATGATTGGTTCCATCGTACGGAAAAATGTGTCAAATTTCGCGGAGAATACTTAGAAAAGCAATAAATACATTTTTAAATAATAATGTTGTGTCACTTCCTTGATTCCCGAAATTTTCAGTGCCGCCCTCGTAGAAAGAATGAATGACGAAAGAGTGACAATATTGCAGATGTGAAGGGCAGAGTCGATAAGGGACGCACTGGGCGAAAATTTGTCGACCAAATTGGCGACCTACTGAAAAGGACCTAATTAAGAGTACAAGGGTACTCTACGCATACATGCTCGTCGGTTAAGGAACCGACGAGCATGTATGCGTAGGTATATGAATGTGGAAGAGGCGAGAGAGGTCTGTCAGGATCGTGCCAAATGGAAGGCTGTAGTCTCTGCCTACCCCTCTGGGTGACAGGCGTGAGTTCTTATGTATGTATGTTTATGTAAAAAAATCGACCAAGATAATTACATATTAGATGGTTGCCATAAAGCAATACAGGAGCAGTGTTGCCGTTTCAGCACATTTGGCGCTAGATCTAGACTACTAGGTAGTAGACTAGTAGATTAGATATTTTTAGCACGTAGATATTAAAAAAAGCGCTGTAGACCGTAGAATTGCACCAGATCTAGAGCCAAACGCGCTAAAACGGTGACTCTGCACAAGAGGGGAGAAGCCATAGCGTTATTTTCCGTTACCAAACTATCATTATTTGCGGGGAAATTTTTTGTAATCTCAAAAAATTAAAATGATACGTTTACAATCTCTCTCTCTCTTCCTGGCTATGTGTCCCACATGGTGGTGAGGTCAGCCTTTCTTGTCTTACGCCTCCACTTCGCTCTATCCTCGACTTCATTTTCGGAGACTTCGCACTCAGTGAGGGAGGGACATCGATTACAATATCACACATAAATAGATCGATACTGTATCGTAACCACATGAGTGGATAAACGGAACAGAGTCAAAGCTTTTTAAGAACGTACAAAATTGTTTTTAGTAGGGTTTCAAATAGGTATCAAAATTAAACTAACACACAAAATTTCGTGACCCTGCTACTATCCGTTGAAGAATTCCCTAGTGAGGAGACAATCCTGGCTGCAGCACCAGATTATATATATATATATATATATATATATATATATATATATATCATAATATTGCATTGTAATTGAAGTTACAACGACTTCGGGAAGTGGTGGTTCAAATCTTACTTGAAAAACACATACCTACTACATACCAACCCACCCACATACGAGGGTGACACTGAAAGTTCTTAGAAAATCATTAACTGAACAAACTAGCAAGTTATTATTTTTATTATATCTTTTAAAAATAGCGTCCATTTACATCAATACATTGCTGCATTTGATGGAACCACAGAAAAGCACTTTGCCTACTAGTCCTTAGGGGTCTCTTCGACGGCATTTTGAAACGCAGCCACTGCGTCCTCGGCATAAAACGTTTTCCTCGAAGTTTTTATTTTATTTTCGGAAATAAATAAAAATCGCAAGGCAATCGCAAGGTAATTCCACGTCTGACATCGCCAAGTATTCGATCGTTTGCTTGGCGTTGTGCGACTAGGCGTTGTCGTGGTAAAGGAGGATTATATTGCGAGGTCGTTTCTCCCGAACTTTTTCCAAAACAAGTGGCAAACAATTGTTAGTGTACCACTCTGCAGTAACTGTTTTTTGATCCTTTTAAACAATTGTTGCGTAATGATCTGTCTTTCCGAAGAACAAGGCCACCATCTTTTTTCCCATGCTTCGACTTCTCTTCACATTAGTTGGCAACTCCTCGGAAGGAAACACCCAGACAGCAAACTGTCTCTTAGTTTCAGGATCGTAATAATAAACCCAGCTTTCGTCACCCGTAAGCATGTCGAAAACAGCATTTGAGTCACCTCCGTTAAATCTTTTTGAACCATTGTTGAACCATTTCACGACATCAATCAACACGACGGAGTTTTTGGACCTCTGTCAAATTATGAGATATCCACCGGTCACAAAGCTTCCTGACCGCTAAATGTTCATGGAGAATTTTGTGCACTTGACTCATACCGACGCCTAAGCTTGTCTTAATCCGCTGGTAAGTCACTTTTTTGTCATTCCTTATCATACGCCGCACAACACTGATATTATCTTCAGTCGTCGCCGTAGAAGGCCGTCCCTAACGCAGATCATCGGTGAGATTATTGCGAGCACGTCTAAACTCATAAAACCAGTTGTAAACATTGACACGAGATGGGGCTTCATCGTGAAAGGCCAATCGAAGTTTATAATAACTTTCTTGTTGACTTAAATGATATCGAAATTCATAAAAAATCATTGTACGAAATTTTTCTCGCGTTAAATTCATAATGACGTGACACACACAATTTTGAATATGCCGCCAAATTTTAAACGAATGACAAATTAATAAAATACAAACACTAACAAATACCTACACAATGCAGGGATGAGTCGCTCGCGTCCGTAGGCTTCGACCACCTAACCCTAGGCCCACCCTACATGTGTCCCCCCGGTTGGTGCTAAACGAGTGACAAAGCCGAAATATAAAGACTCGGCTTCTCGCCTTTCTGTAAATTTGACGTGGTACTTGCAGATCTCTTTTTGCAGCAAAATACTGAACAGTTTGGCATTTTTGTAGAACGTCGATTCAGTCGTGCAACTAAATTTAGTCGAGTGAGCAGTGCGGTTGCAACTATTTTTATTGTACGCATAGGACCGCTGTGTGATATTTGGACTTATACTTTGGCACAGGAGAGGAGAGCCGTGGTAGCTCAGATGGTTAACGCTCGCTGTAAATATAACAGAATGCGAGTAACCCGGGTTCGATCCCCGCCGGCACCAATGAAATTGTTAATTGCATTTTTAAGTGTTGATTTACCACGTGTTCGGCGGTGAAGGAAAACATTGTAAGGAAACCTGCATGTCTGAGGAATAAGAAAAAAATTTATTTCGAAGACATGTGAAGTTCGCCAACATGCATTGGGGCAGCGCGGCGGACACTTCCTTGCGCTAAAACCCTCTCAGTAATGAGGGGAGGCCTGTGCCCCGCAGTGGGACGTATATAGGCTATAACTTTACTTTACAGGAGTAGGTAGGAGTATCCTGAGTAGCGTATGTCCGGTCACTCCGGTCTCACGTCTATTCCCTCCCGTCTGGTACGTCGACGGCGGACCGTGTTTCTTTATGCTGGTTGCTTTTAAAGCTAAAGTTTTTTTTTTAATTGTTAAAAATGTATAGTTAAATTTTGGTTTTTACAAACGGCCTAACTTTTAATATCAAATGTGACATGTGACATATTTCTTATGTGTTTCACATTTCTATAGCAATGAGTTTGAAATGAACTGTATTTTTCGTAGAAACATATATCATAAATAAAAACTATGAATTTGTATAAAGATTATATACAAACGGTACGATCACAATCACTGCAGGAAGTTTGTTTTATTTTGTGTGGAGATATTTCACCTAAACTTTATCATTACATACTACTTTTGACTAATGTAAAATTGAAAGATGGTTTCCTCCAAGAATATTATGGTGAAGTTAAAAAAATTATAAACAGTTTTATTATTCACTGGACCGATGTCATGATTGATGCTATTAAAGAAGCTGATAAACTAGTCAAAGAAATAAATAAAGAAGGATTACTTCATTTATTGGACAATACTATAGACATGCAGATCATTAAACAAGTAGACTTCGAGCAGTCTTTCCTCCCCATTCAGACTCCCGAAGAACAAAAAGTGTATGATGAAATTTTAGTTCTATACGAAAAACATTTGCAGGAGTTAAATCGTATAAAAGACGCTGTTAGCAAAATGTATGAACAAGAGGAAATTGAGAGCTTCTCTCGGAAGCATTTCTCGAATTCCCTCCGAAAGAAAAACGGGATTTTTGCTTTCACACACACGTATATCGCTTTGTTGTTAACGACGAATGTAAGAATTTTAGGATTTAAAGAATTTATCTTAATTTAGAGATTGATGAGTAATAATGTCCTCTAGACCGAATTTCGGTCACGTCGGCCTGTCTCAACGGAAACTAGTCATCGGAGCAGGACAGGATTACAGTGCTCAAGTATATGCGCAAGCACAAGTGTACTCTCTATTCCCTCATACCCTGCATAATCAATAGGACGATAAACAGACACAACCAGAGAGAGATCGGGCGCAGGACCAACGGCTTTACGTGCTTTCCGAAGCACGGGGTGAGACACCGCCAACTTCCTGATTCCGGGCAGCTACTGATAATTTCTTGACGGAAGAACTCAATAATTGATATTTTTGGCCCGACCCGGGATTCGTATCCAGGACCTCATGATCAGCAGTCGCACTACTACAACCACTAGACCAACGAGGCAGTCTTTGATAGCCGAGCCTGAACTGACAGCAGAGCCGCATATCATTGGCGAGATAAAATTTTGCCTCTTAGCAGTGTTCTTGGGAGCGCCGTATGGACGACGGCTATTTGCTCGTCCCAAGTACCTACTACAGAAAAGATTACCTAAGTAGGAAAGGACATGCCTGAACTTCCGAGACTGGCAGGATTTAGCTCTGGACAGAATTAAGTTGCGTCTTTTACTGTCAGAGGCCAACAAAATTAGTTTAGATATTATATTGACTCTGATAAACATTGAGTCCTCAGAATATAAAACAAACATTGAGCCAATCTTTTTATATGTTTTGGCTTCGTTGTTAATGACTAACAATAATATCATCGGCCAGTTACATTCCGTTGTTGGGTTCCTTATAATTGCCACATTTGGCAGATCCGTTCCCATAAAAGCAATGCTCTTTGTGTCATTTCTAATAGTCTTCTTTTATCGCGCACGAGATGAGGTGATAAATTATTTTATGCAGTTGCATTAAGGCAGGATATTCATATATTTATGAACACCTGCTGTGTGGTGGCAGCTTATTAAGAGAATTCATCACCTCATTTAATTTCGTAAAAGACTACTAATGATATTGCCAATTAAAAAAATCCTTACCCCCATACTAGGATATTCTCCTGTATCATGGGGGCAGTTTACAAACATAAATTGCACAAGGACAAACATCCAGAACCGAAACAACTACTACTAGGTCTTACAAATATTTTTCCGTGCTGGATTCGAACCCGCGCCCTCATTGCTGTAACTCATTGTTAAGCCACTGCGCCATGGATCCGTCAATAATAAATAAATATCTCATAACATTCGATAGAAGCGGTATTACTCGTGTCTCGTTTACATCCGACGTAAAATACCCTGACCTGGGACGATGAGTAGTGTCAAAGGTACTCTCTACAATAGTACTAGGTATAGTACGTGAGGGAATATGGTCATCCGGTTAATATGGTCACTTTCTTATAACTCAAAAACTACAGCCTTGTTTGTATAGATGGTTTTGTTATACGATAGCTCTTCATCGGTCAATCAAATGAGGGTTAAAAGGGCGCTGCTTTATCGACGCCATTTTGACAGTTGACATTATAGTAAATATTTTAGTCGATTTTAATATGGTGTAGTGTAGTTACTTTTTTTTAAGTAGAATTTCGAAGTATTCCTAATCATTGCCATAGCTAGTACAAGCGTACTATTATTTATTCTGTGGTACAACTTTGTGGTTTTGTCTCTGTTATTCTGCTAGTTTTTGGATTTATAGGGCGGCAAAGGTAAAGGTGACCATAATACGCTCACGTATTTTACAACAGATGTTTGCGTCCAATAGTGAACTTTTTGTAGGTCATTAAAAAAGATACACAACTACCTTCATCGCTTTTATGCCGGCTTTAGAGAATCCGCTACTACGCCGCCATGTTTTTTTGGTATTTCCTGTAGTGTATATGATAAATACTTTAAAAATTTAATGACCACAGATAATTGGCTATCGCTATCTCATAATGATTTCTTAAATTTACGCGAACACTACACATTGAATAAAACTATTATTTACGGATTTTATCGCGTTTAATTACTTTAATTTATTTTTATTATTATCCCGACGTTTCGGGTGCTTTACAGCGCCCATGGTCACGGGGGGACTGAGATGTTTGACGTCCCAATGTCATAGTTAGTCCGGCTACCTTCAGTTTTTTAATATTAATTTCTGGTCCGATTTACGCAAAACGAGCTTATAGTATCATGAAGTCTTGCAGTGGTATGCTTGGGTTTGGGTTTAATTTTGTTAATTATAGGATCCCAAGCAGATGGTAGCACCCAACCATCTTCTCTATTGAAATTTGGATGTTTTTTAATTTCAATAGCCTCGCGTATCATCCTTGGTAGGAATCGGTGTTCTTTTGCGAGAATTTGTGGTTTATCAAATCTAATGTAATGGTGGGGACGATCTTGAACATGTTCGCAGACTGCAGACTTCCCGGAGCGTCGGTGCTTCACATCAGCTATATGTTCCTTCACGCGGGTTTTTATAGATCTCTTTGTTTGACCTATGTAAGAGAGACCACATTCACAATCTAGCTTGTACACACCTGCATCTTGTAGAGGAATATTACATTTGATGGATGGTAAAAATTGACTAATCTTCTTCAGCGGCTTGTAGTATGTCTTAATGGACGCTCGCTTCAAGATGTAGCCAATCTTGTCTGTGACTCCTCTAACATATGGTAGTAGAGCAGGCGCGCGCTCGACTGTGGCCGGCTTCACTCGTTCACTGTGACGTAGGCGCGGGACCCGAAGCTTGTTGTCTTGCAATACTTGCTTGACGTGCTGAAGCTCCGCGGCCAGATGTTTTCTGTCACAGATCCCTCGTGCTCTCTGAAACAAAGATTTACCCACGGTAGCTAACTGTGAAGGATGATGGTGAGATTCACCATTTAAATATCGGTTGGTATGGGTCTTTTTCCTATACACAGTGTGACCAATAGTGTTATCAGGATTTCGGATGACTAAAACATCTAGGAAAGCTAAAGACAATCTAGGAAAGCTAAAAACATCTAGGAAAGTTAAACGCGATAAAATCCGTAAATAATAGTTTTATTCAATATCGCTATCTCGTTTATGTCAGTTTTAAAGTATCCAAACCAGTGAAAACAAATGAAAGATCGGACAAGTGTGTCGAGTGACGATTACAGCACGAGTCCAGCAGTACTCGTAAACTATTAAAGCTGATGAAGATAAAAAAGAGAAGAGATTTTGTCGTCTATTTATCATCATCATTATAACAGCCCTTCACAAGTCCACTGGTGGACAATGGCCTCCCGCGACGAGTGTCACAAGGCACGGTCTAAAGCCACCTACATCCATCGCCTTCCCACATTTCCTGCTAGGCCATTTAGTGGTAAGTTGCTAGATACTTGGCTTACTGATACAAGGCTGTCATTCGAGTACCTTTCTTCCACATCGGTTGTCGGTTCTTCGAGTTATATAGCCCCCTACTGCCAATTCAGCTTACTAATTCGTTCGGTTCAGTTAATTGGTACGAAGTCGTAGATTGGTACAGACAGAGACTATGAGCTTCCTCATATGCCCATTGGTAAAAGTTATCGTCTATTATTTTTAGTTAAATAATATACGCGTCAGCTTGGAAGAGATAGTGAATCGAACGCGTAACAACCTACAAAAGCTGCAGAAGAAATATGACGAAAAACTGATCTACTTACGAAACCAGCTGTACAATAAGAATAAAGAGCATCTCGTGGTAACAAGACAGGCTAGGCGGAACTCGGACGAAATCGCTGAAGTAAGACGTCGGTGACCTACCACATCTGTTAATAAGGCCTACGTCAGTTTCATAGATTTTTTTTACTTCCCGCTATGAAAATCAATGATTTTCAAAAAATCGGGTTCTCATCATATTTGACAGTTTCGGCTTTATATTTTACAAAAAAATGAAAACAAAAATTTTGAATTAAATAAATAAATAAATTAAAATCTATCGTAATTCAAATCATATCCACCCTAGCCTGTGTCCCTGCGTAGTGACAAGGTCAAAGACTACGAGTAAATTTTATTGTTTTATTGCCGTTCGTAAAGTAGGGTGGATATGATTTGAATTTCGATAGATTTTAATTAATTTATTTATTTAATTCAGAATATTTGTTTTTATTTTTTGTACAATATATCAGAGATTGTACTCGTAACACATGTTACACACTTTTATTTTTCTATCGATAAAAAAAGGTCATTCAGTATATTAGGGTCGTAGCACGAATAAATCGGGTCATTTATACGTATTAAAACACACTGTTCTTATTTATATAAAATGCAGAAAGCTATGATTTTAAATGATTTGATAAGGTTATGTACTTTCTTACACAAACTTCTTGAATAATCTGAAGTTTTAGTTGATACGAATTAGTTTAATTTTGTTATTGTGTACTATTAGTCCACTGTTGAACATAGACCTCCCCCATAGATTAGGGTGCTTTTGCCATAGTTGCCACGCTTGGCAAGCGGGTTGAGAACCGCAGTTTTTTATTTTTAATCCTAATTAGGAAGACCCTGCTGCTCATCTCCTGGTTTGTTCCCTCCGTCGCCTCCTACGACAGCCACGGGATGATATGGGGTAATAGATATACTTACACCGCCACTACATGGATTGTTGTTGCGAGTTTATTTTAATAGATGGACATTTTACCGTCGCGGACTTTTCTTTCAACTCTTTGAAGAGCAATTCTCCCATACATTAACTTCATTATATAAACTTTCGATTTATGCAGTGTACGTCATGATCAACGATGATGAAAATCATCATAACATTAGGTATTTTGCAAAAAATATTACTAAATACTGAGCCGTGGTAGCTGAGATGGTTAGCGCTCGCTGTACACAGTACGCGAGCAACCAGGGTTCGATCACCACCGGCTATTTTAAATTAATTATGCATGCAATGTTAGGTTCTCATTTACCACGTGCTTGGCGGAACATCAAACTTACATGTCTGAGAAATAAGAAAAAAAAATTATTCGCAGGCGTGTGAAGTTCGCCAACACGCATTGAGACAGCGCGGCGGACAATTCCTTGCCCAACCTTTTCACAAATGAGAGGAGGCCTGTGCCCAGCCGTGGGACGTATATAGGCTGTAACTTTAACGTTTCAACTTTAAATACACTAATTCCTTCTTTATGTATCAAATTGTCTGATAATCGAAGCCGAATAAAAATCCACATGCATACAGACAAAAGTGGCAGTGATCTTTAATTTATAATATGTATAGATATCTATATATTTTATATTCAAGTATTTTTTAATGATAATTACTTATACTTTAATCGTCTAATGGACACACGTTTAGCTACAACAAAGCATGAAACAATTGAAAAACAACATAGAAAATCATAACGACGTGATACTGTGTCGTCTCAGTGAAGAGTTCGAATATTGGAATGATAAGCTTAAAGAGTTAAATCGAATTGCCACGACTATAATGAAATTAAAAGACGTGGAGCAGAAACTTATAGAACAGCAACAAATGGAGCTTGAATTGAAGTAAGTGCCAATATCTTTTTATATGCATTTTCTTCTTGTGACTGAAGGCGCTAATTTGAACGTTACCCGCGACCACCGCGGCGACATCGGGTTTGAAGGATGGAGAAATTAGAAAACGTATAATCCAAAACCGATTGGGATTTACTATTTTCGAAGATACTATTTTCGATTCAGTGTAACGACAAATTCACGAGTAGAATTATATCAAGTGTTGGTATGACGAGGCCCCGTATTGAGACTTTCGCAGCCGATTCTTGGTTAGCGGCGGAGCCAAAGACCAGATCCACCGCTAGGTTCAGGAAGGCTAGTGCTTCTGAATGCTCTTTTTTCTGGCCCCATGGCCTTCACGCACGGTGCGTGTTTTTTTAAAGAGCACACAGTCCACCTGAAGGTAAATGGTTGCTGTGGCCCATAGACATTTACATCTACCCACGATTACGAATAATAATGCAGGGGCGTTGTCACCCATGTGGACTAAGATGGAATGCCTCGTTTCCAGTAAAAAGGTTCTCGGGTCCTCTACACTCACCATACGAAACACAGCATTAAGCTACTATTTTACGCTGGTATTCTTTGAGAGCGTAGTTTTTTCCCGGTCGAGTCGACCCATTCTAACTATACTACTAATATAACTACAGCGTGGTTTTACCACCTATAAAAACGTGTGTTCTGATGCGCCTTACCTGAGAAAGAAATGAGGGAGGAGTACTTCTCTCCCTAGGGCTGCCATGGGGCAGCCTGCGCTCGCTGGCCTGAGCTGCCGCGGATGTGAGCGAAAGCGTTCCCTTGGCCCTGCCAATATGCAGTAAGGTGGAACACCATCGGGTTTCAGGTACTTGTAGATCCGACAGAAGCCGTCCTTGCCCCGTCGCGAATTGGGTATGCGTAGGCATTTCTAAATGTAAAAAAACATGACAAAAATTTTTAGTATCTTAACTTTCTATGTTTAATGTGTCTAACTATTTATTACTTATCAATTTCATGTGACAAAGGGATAAACCAATATCTGAAGGAAAAGTAAAGTGCTTGGTGTGTTTAGGAGCATTTAAATCAAAACTGGAATACGTCAAGGAAAAGAAAACAGAGGCGGCTAGGACGTTGATTAGTTTTTTTAGTGTTAGAGGTATTTGATAATTTATTATATTTACGCTAACACTACACGTTGAATAAAACTAATTATGCTTCACATCAGCACCGACGCTCCGGGAAGTCTGCAGTCTGTGAACATGTTCAAGATGGTCCCCGTCATTATTTCAGATTTGCTAATAAATCCTTGCAAAAAACACCGGTGATACGTGAGGCTATTGAAATTAAAAAAAACATTCTAATTTCAATAAAGAAGATGAATGGGTGCTGCCATCTGCCTAGGGTCCTATAATTAACAAAATTACATCCAGACTCAAGCATACCACTGCAAGACTTCAAAATACTGTAAGCTCGCTCTGCGCAGATCGTTCCAAAAATTAATATTAAGAAACTGAAGGTAGCTGGGCTAGCTCTGACATAGGGACGGCAAAAATCTCAGTTTCCTCCGTGACCACGGGTACTTTAAAGCGCCCGAAACGTCGGGAATTAAAAATAAGTTAAGAAATCGTTATACATGTTAGGGATCACGCTATAGCTATAGGTATAATGTAGCTTGTATTAGTCGGTTTGACTAGGGAAGGACCTTGCTTTCACAAAATAACTGCATAGCAGTATAATGCTGCTTTGTGAGGTAAGCAACCAGATCTTTTTGTGTTTGTTTCATATAAAAGATATAGGAATTTTTGTAACAATTTATTTAAAAAGTTGTAGTATAATTATCTTACAAACTTACCGGAAGAGTCTGGTAGAGATAATAAATAGATTTGGCGACATGTAAAATATATGTCATTTATATCTTAACAGCATGAATCTTTATCAGAATTATAACAAAATAATTTCACACCGCTTATATCAACAAATATAGCAAATACTTTGTGAACATCGGTAAAAATCTTGCTGAGCAGATAATGAACAATTCTAAAAATAATCAGGAATACAGGTCCCCATTCGCAACTCAAAGAAACTGCCAATTTAGCTCGTTTACGTTATTAGATACGGACGCTAATGAGGTGGAAAGGATTATAATGGGACTTAAAGAAACAAGCACAGTTGGTTGGGTCCAGTACTGTACAGTATTGTTTAAAAAAAACAATTGTAGTTCCAGTATTTAAATTGGGGGACAAAAAAATCGTTTGCAACTATCGGCCCCTATCAATACTCTAAAAATTAATTAACAGAGATTAGTGAATTATTTACAAAGTAAATCCATATTATCGTACATACACCTGAGATACAGGTTTATCCTAGCCTGTTAGTATAGACAATTTTAATTAAGACGTTATTTCAATTAATTGTACAGTTTATTGAGATAAAAGAATTGGATTTTGGATTATTTGGACTGTGTGTTCGCTTGTTACCCTTATTGTAGTTATTCTATAAATAAGTGTATTTCAACAGGTCCCGACCGCATTTTCTACACAGACGGTGTTGGCCGCTACTACGTGGATGAATATGGCCACCAGGTCTACTTCTATGACTATGGGCTTAAGATGTACCACGTGAACTGTGACGGCGAGTTTGTCGAGGTGCTTTTATTGTTTTATATTCTTATATATAATATATATATATATATATATATATATATATATATATATATATATATATATATATATATATATATATATAATCGGAATCTCGGAAACGGCTCCAACGATTTTCATAAAATTTAGTGTCCAGGGAGTTTCGAGGCCAATAAATCGTCTAGCTAGGATTCATTTTTAGAAAATGTCTTTTTGTCCGTGTTTTCAGGCAGTGAAAAACTGCAACAATATAATGACACTGTGTTAATGATCGTTTTCCAAGTTCCTTTCTTTTGGGAGAAAATCTATTATTTCGAGCCCTTTTTTTTAGTATTTTTTAAAAATACGAAAATTTTAATTAAACTAATTGCACTCATGATTTTTTTATTCAAATAACCAGTTCAGTTTTTTCTATTATGTCAATAAGATCAAAAAATATTATTCATGTTTCATCAGTATGTAATTTGTAAAACGATTTCCAAAAAACAATACCGAGGAAAGGTCTATCTAATAAAGTATTTTAAGGCTATAAATAGCACCTATGATGATTATGATGATAATAAGAAAGAGATAGGTCATCATTAATATAGTATTATTTTACTGTGATAACTTTACCGTTGTTGTCTATGATTACGGTTGCCATCTTTTTATTTTTATATAAGTATATTTGGTTGGATAATTAGAGATATATATGAGTGGAATATATATTAGAGTGTTTTTCTAGTCTTAAAAACATATTGTTGAAGCTTTTTGCGCAATTTAATAATTTATTATTATTTTTATATTATTCGTAAGCCTCTTCACGATTTAAGTCAAATTTAAAGTTAATGAGGTGCCAATTTTTTATTAAATTAATAGATTAATCCTTCTGCTTACTTTCTCCATCGATACGATACGATAACCAGACGTCCGGCTAGTTTTTTTATAGGATAGTGTGACAAACAATCACACAGTTCACCTGACGATAAGTGGTTGCTGCGGCCCATAGACATCTACATCTATCCTTGATTACAGATCAAAATTCAGATGCTTTGTCGCCCGTGAGGACTAAGATGGAATGCCTCGTTTCCAGTAAAAAGGGTCTCTGGTTCTCTACACTCACCATACGAAAAACTGCAGGGTTAAGCTACTATTTCACGCTGGTATTCTGAATTCTGTGAGAGTGTGGTCCTTCCCCGGTCGAGCCGACCCATTCGTGCTACAACTATACTTATAATATAACTGCAGCATGGCCACGTATAAAGTACCACGTATAAAGTTTCCACCTCACCATGAATTCTTATCAAACGGTTGCTGCATCGTTCTTCATGCGCACAGCAAAGGGTCCAATAAGTTGTAAACATCTGCCTTTCCATTCGATTACAATGGTGTCTTTAAGGCAAGAGTGTATGGGCTTTTGTTAAGTCAGGGTGCTTCACCATCTTGGGATACATCACCACTTACCATCAGGTGGGATTGTAGTTAAGCGCTGGATTAAAATAGTAAAGAAAATAGCTCTATTTCAGGTTTTATGGTTCCGAATAACAGCCAGTGCCTAATTTAGACTTTCGACAGCCCTAGGCTAAGTACGAATTTTACGACCTCCACCGGCCTTTCTGTCTGTACCTGCCGAATATATTTACTAGATTTTTATATTACAGTAGCTTTCCAACACGTGGTTTCGCCCACATTACAACCGTCGCCCATTAACAACTGCAATACCAGGATTTTTGTAGGTGCTTTGCCGGCGCTTTTAAAAGAGTTAGCGCGTTTCTCCCATAAGTCCAGGATTACGCGAAGGGTGTAAGTGTACTGGAAAAGACGCGTTAGAGTTGGTGCTAACTTCAGAGCACCCGTATTCAGTACAATAGGAGGAACTACACGAGGATATATAAAGCCTAAGTCGGTCGTGCATGGAGTATTGCTGCCATATATGGGCTGGTGCTGCAAAATGCCACCTGGCGGCCTTAAGCTCAATGGAAAGGCGTGCTAAGAGGCTTATAGGTGACCTGAATTTGGTTGAAACCAATCTTACCAGCCTCGAACACCGGCGTAAAGTAGCCAGCCTTTCGGTCTTCTATAGGATGCATTTCGAAGAGTGTGCGCAGGAATTGCATAATTTAATTCCTTCCTCTCCCTTCCACCATTGGACAACTAGACGTTCGGCCAGTCTCCACCCTTTCGTTATTGACTTACCACGCATTCGAACCAAACGGTTTGCTACGTCGTTCGTCATGCGTACAGCAAAGGAGTGGAATAAGTTGCCAGCATCTAGCTCTCCATCCGATTACAATGTGGGTGTCGTCAAGGCAAGAGTGAATAGGTTTTTGTTAAGTCAGTGCGCTTTACCACCTTAAGCTACATCACCACTTACCATCAGGAGGGATTGTAGCTAAGTGATGGCTTAGAAAAGTTAAAAAAAAAACTACATCAGACCCACTCGACTTGTTAACGTCCAGGGAGAGGAGTGCTTTGCATGCACCTTTAACGTTGTGTAAACCGCACATCACATAGTATATAGGCCCTGATAACAGTGATGATAGAAACTTTATTTCGTATACTTCTTTTAACAGAACGGTATTGAAGAGCGAAATAAGGTATGACACCGTTTTTAACAGTATCGTTGGCAACCCTACGTACATTTCAAACTCCGTTGATGTATTTTTTATAAGCAGTTCTTTAATCAGGCTCAAGACACGGAGGCGTATTACTACGACACAAACGGTCGTTATGTGGTAAACGAGGAAGGTGAGAAAATTTACAAGATCGCCCCATGCACCAGCTCTTACAAGCTGGTTAACGACCTGCTGGTGAAGAGCACGAACGATTGTGGGCACTCCGAGCAGCCGAATAAGAACTGCAGGATGAATATAAAAGACCATTCAGATGTTGAGGTGTTGCCTAGTGGAGGTGGAACCGGAAAACTTGATATTAAGGGTATTCGATACTTTTGTGTTATCACTAATTAATTAAGCTTTTGTTTGTTAAATTTTTGTTGAATTCAAGTCAATGTGATAAGCGCGTTGCGACTTCACCTGGCGGTAACGGTAAGTGGATGATATGGTCCATAAATACGATACGAACTATAACTATTGATTCTTAATAGAAGATAAATGTAGACGTCTATGGGTCACATCATCCACTCACCATCAGGTAGACTGTCTGCTCGAATGTCACCCTTATTCTATAAAAATAAAATAATAATGCAGATGCGTTGTCCCGCTGAGGACTAAGATGGAATGCCTCGTTTCCAGTAAAAAGAGTTTTTTTTTTTCTTCTTTGTTCGGGGTTTTTTTCCCAAATTTTTAAAAATGTTCTGTTACTATCTCCATAAATTCCTTAATATTATAATAACCCTTTTTATACAATGTTAGTTTAATAACATTTTTGAACTTCGTGTATGACAAATTTTGTATATTTTCTGGGATTTTATTGTAAAAGCGTATACATCGCCCCAAGAATGAATTACTGACTCTGTGGAGTCGAGTAACTGGTACTACTAGTTTGTGTCTGTTCCTAGTATTTACAGAATGAATATCACTTATTTTCGCAAAACTACTTTTATTTCTGTGTACGTACATTTCATTTTCATAAATGTATTGAGAGGCCAGAGTTAATATATTAATTTCCTTAAATTTTTGTCTCAGTGACTCTTTTGGTTTTAAATTATATATTGCTCTAATGGCCCTCTTCTGTAAAATAAATATAATTTCATTGTCAGTCGCGTGTCCCCATAGCAAAATACCATACGACATAATGCTATGGAAATAACTAAAGTAAACTATTCTAGCTGTTTCAACACTGGTAAGAGTTCTAATCTTTTTCACAGCATATGCTGCAGAACTAAGTCTGCTAGCTGGTTTTTTGCACTCACCATACGAAACTCACTAAGCTGCTATTTTACGCTGGCATTCTGTGAGAGCGTGGTCTTACCCAGGTCAAGCCGATCCATTTATTAATCTATCTAGTCTATGGGCCCCAGTATACACTTACCATCAGGTGGATTGTGTACTCGTTTGACACCCTTATTCTTTTAATATAAAACTAAACTATATAAGTCACTCGCGTCTGTAGGCCACGACCACCCAATCCTAGGCCCACCCTACACGTGTCCCCCGGGTGGTGCTAAATGGGCGACAAGCCGACAAGCCAAAAGTACAGACTTGGCTACTCGCCGTGTGGTAGCGGCGTAAAATATACTACCTCATACTTTCGCCCATGAGGCACCAGAGAAAAAAATGGCCCCGAGTTTTCGGCGCCCCGTTAATGGAGCAGGGGTGCGAAGAATCTCCGGGAGGAAAACCGGCGACGAGGTTCGCCACTCGTCCCTTTCTGTCTCCCGAAGGGGCGAAAAGTGAATTGCAGAAGCCCGTCTGGCTACGCTGAATGTATGTGGAGCAATGAATGACAAGATGGATGAAGTTTGCGATATGATGTATGATAGAGGAATAGATGTGTTATGTGTAAATGAGACGAAACGGAAGGGAAAGGATGTCACTACACATGGCATGTGTACCACGTACTGGTATGGTGTAGACGATACCGAGCGGGCATGTCAGGGAGTCGGCATCATCCTTTCGGAAAGAATGGGTCAATGTGTGAAAGAGTATGAATGCTAAGACTGTTATGGATACGAATGAAAGTGGGCTTAAAGAAGTTGTTTGTTCTTGGGGTCTACGCTCCAGACATGTCTAAGCTCACTTATATCCGAGAGCAGTTTTGGGAGATGGTAAGAGTGGTGTTAATAAAATGTAAGGGAAATAAAAATATTTTAATGTTAGGAGATTTTAATGGAAGGGTTGGGGTTACGAGGCTTGGTTTTTTCCCCAACGGTTGTCGGTTCTTCGAGCCATATGGTCGGTCCATTGCCACTTCAGCTTAGTAATCCGTTGGGCTATGTCGGTCACCCTGGTTCTAATGCGGATATCCTCATTTCTAAGCTTATCACGCAGAGAAACCCCGAGCATAGCCCTCTCCATAGTTCATCAGTACGTTAGGAGTCATTCATCAAATGTACTACTTACAGTACATAATTCTATTTAATCTGTGGTTTCAGTTATTTCTCATAAGAACCTTGTTTTATATTTTATTTTTATTTATTTTTTTGTTCAATCAAATATGATCTGAATGGCATATGTGTAGTACCTTTTTTTTCTTTTTAAATATTTACATTATTTTTTATTCTGTAAATGCTGGTAGGTAGTAAATTTAACTAAAAGGTTTAGTTTATAATTTTTATATTTTTATAGTTATTAGTATTTTTTTTAATAATTTACAGTTGTTTGAATTTTTTTTAAATATTTTTGTAAGGATAACATGTCTTTTGGTGAAAGTGATCATATTCAAAGCTCCTCCTCTTTCTTTTCAGTATCTGATGTATTAAGTAATGACGACAGTTTTGAGAGCATTCCTCCATTAAAAGAGACCCTTGACCCCCATTTTTCTCAAGCTATCAAAAACTTCAATATAGTCCACATAAATGCACAGAGTATTCCGGCTCATTATCCCGATATGTTAGCTAGTTTTGAAAGTGATAATGTTCACGCAATTCTCGTTTCAGAGTCATGGTTAAAGCCATGTCTTCCTTCTATATCCTATTCCATTCCAGGATTCCAGTTAATACGCAACGACCGAACTGCGCGAGGTGGTGGTGGTGTTGCCATTTACATTCGTGCTCATATTCCTTTTTCTATTGTTGTTTATCATCTCTATCTCAAGCTGAGAACGAAGCAGAATACTTATTTGTTGAAGTACTTCTTTCGCACAACAAATTACTTCTCGGAGTTTTTTATAGTCCTTCTTCTACAGTGGACTATTTTACTACTTTGGATAACCTTCTTGAAGAGTTAACTCCATTATATACACATACAGTGCTTATGGGCGACTTTAATACTTGCCTTCTCAAGAATGATGCCCGATCTATCCGGCTTAAGTCCCTTATAGAAGCAGCCAATTTAAATATCCTTCCTCTCTCTGAAACTCATTTTTTCCCTAACTGTATCCCATCCCTCCTTGATTTGGTTATCGTTTCTTCTCTTGACCATGTTGATAGTTTTGGCCAATGTGCTGCCAATGCGTTTTCGTATCATGATCTCCTGTTTCTATCTTATAAAATAAGACCACCCAAAGCCAAATCAAGGATACTTCTGCAGCGTAATTTTGAGAAAATGGATTTGGAAAATCTTCAAAAAGACGCTGCTAATATGGACTGGAGCGTTATAATGAAGGCTTGTGGTGTTGACGAACAGGTAGCATTGTTTAATTCACTTCTTGTTCAACTTTATGATACTCATGCTCCTGTCCGTCCAGTGCGAATACGTCATCCTCCAGCTCCGTGGTTGACCGAAGATCTTAAAAGATTAATCTGCAGGAAGAATAGTGCAAAGTCGAGTTACAAGTCAGATCCTAAGAATGACAGGATTCGGGAGAAGTACAGACTCCTGCGGAATCAATGCAATAAGATGTGTAGAGATTTACGACGCCGCCACATCCATAAATCAGTACAAAACGAAGATCCATGTCGTATTTGGAACTTCTTAAAGTCTATTGAAGTTGGAAAAACTCGTTCATGTCCTTTTCCAAATAACGTTGATTTAAATTTGCTTAATCAGCATTTTTCTTCCGTTTCTTGCCTGAACAATATGGCAAAATCAGCAACACTTACTCAACTTTCATCGTTGCCCACTTCTGACTTTTCTCCATTTGTGTTTAGGCAATTTGCAGATTGTGATGTTAGGAAACACATACTCTCTATCCATTCCGACGCTGTCGGAAGTGATGATGTCAGTCGTAAAATGATCATTCCCTTGTTGGACTTTTTAACACCTATTATAACCCATATCTTAAACTCTTCCATATCCCCATCTTCTTTCCCTTCCCAATGGAAGGACACCCAAATCTTACCTTTGCCTAAAAAAGCAAATCCTTCAATTTTTTCTGAATATCGTCCTATTTCAATTCTTCCTTTCCTTTCCAAAGTTTTAGAACGCCTTGTCCAACAACAAATTAATTCCTTTTCTTTAAGAAATAGCATCCTTAGTCCTCTTCAATCTGGCTTTAGATCTGGTCATATTACGACTACGGTGTTATTAAAAATCACCGACGACATTTGTCACGGTATAGAGAATCATCAAGTCACAGTATTGGTGTTGCTGGATTTCAGCAATGCCTTCAATACTGTTGATCATGATATCCTGTTAGGGATTCTGCGTTTTCTTAACATATCTCCAACTGCAATTTCCTGGTTTCATAGTTATTTGCACGGGCGCCGGCAACGTATACGTGTCCAAGGTAGACTTTCTTCGTGGCTTGATACCGTAGCTGGCGTTCCACAAGGTGGTGTCTTATCTCCTCTTTTATTCTCAATCTTTATTAATACGATTACATCCCAAATATCTTCTCTCTACCACTTGCATGCAGATGATCTTCAAATATATTTACAAACAACCATTGGAGATCTTGACAAAGCTGTTGAATATATTGTTACGAGCTTGAGGTTCGTGACAATAAAAATTGCCGATAAAACGACGAGTGTTCGAGCGTAGATTTTCTAGAAACTTAGTTCTTCGGATGGCGCTGTCGGTTGAAAGATTTGTGATGTCATTTTCTGTAAAGCTCCCCTCGTTCTCGTTCCTGACACTAGATGGCGCTAGTGTATGACGTTGAGCGCGTAACACTGCCCCCTCCTAAGACATGCTCGTCCCGAGCATTATCGGCCCCATAATAACGCGCCAGGCGATCCACATGGGCGATCTTAGGAGTCCCTCTTGCGCCTTTCTGTAACGGCTCCGCAATGTCTAGGGCTGTCCTATCCCATGGTGCACCAACATTGTACAATTTCTCTACTACTCTCTATTTCTCTACTCTACTACGTGTCTGAGGTCCCTTCACGGCCGCACAACTTGTACATTTACGACACCAATCCTCGACATCGTCAC